TGCAAGGTATGTGGTAGGTGCCTCTCCTAGACACCTGGAGAATGGTATCTGGGGACCAGCTAGAGCGGGATGGAAGCCCTGAGCCTCCCTAGCAAAGGCCTCTGTGATCTTGACCAAATGACCTCCTGGCGATACGTGCTCCTGGGCCTTAGCCTCCTTCCCTCAAGAGGACCGACACCAAAGCTCCATAAAACTTCAGTGGGATAGGAGTGGAACTGAGAGGGGCCGAGGATGTAGCTCAGCTCGTAGAAGGCGTGCCTGGCATGCACAAGGCCCTGGATCCTACCCCAACACTTAAAAAATTGACATCTTCCACAGAAAACAGTATTTTAGTTTTTTTGTTTTGAGACAGGGTCTCATTATGTAGCCCTGACTGGCCTGAAACTTACTCTGTAGACCAGAGAGACCTCAAAATCAGAGAGATTGTCCTGCCTCTGCCTCCTGAGTGCTGGAATTAAAAGCATGCACCACCACACCCAGCCCCAGGGAAATATAAGTCACATTGTCATCTTAGACTACATAGTAAGTTAAAGGACATCCTGTGCTACTATGAGCCCCTGTCTCAAAAAGGGAGGGGGAAGAGAGCGGAACTGAGGACATTTATTGCTGTGCCCCGGGAAGCAGCTCCTTGGGACTGGCATCCTTGGACCCTCTTGTACACCTTTGGGCAGCCACATCCGCTGGCCCTGTGTTTCTTCAGTGTTAGGGTTACTCACGTGTTTGCCCAGGGCGGTGCCTTTGAGCTCAACTCTGCCCGATAAGATAGCAGGAATCTCAGCCTGGTCCTGGGTATGAGAATCAGGACACTTCCTGCTCCAGTGCACAATGGTGAGTCTTTGAACACCTAAGCCAATATGCATGTGGCCTGTGTTTGCCCAGGCTACAGCTCAGCAGGCTGGGCTGGGGCCACCACAATAAGCTATTGTTGCCGGAAAGAGACTGACCGCAGCCTGTGTTTGCTCCGAGTGGAGGCCTGGGCGCCTGTGTCATTTCCAAGCACTTCCTGCTGTGTGTGCATGGAGTGGGGTGTGGTCCACTGGGTTCCCAGTGTGTCACCTTCCACCTCTCACACTGAGCAAGCCAGCCCCCCTTATCCTCCCAGGTAGAATTGGGCAAGGGACGGCTGGCACCAGGCGCCCTGTGGGTGGCACTCCTCCATTCCGGGACGCTGCCTGGTAGCCAGTGAAAACAAGCTCATGTCTTGTAAGGGTCATGCTCCCACTTGACCTAGCACATCCCAGCATTATCTTGAGCCACGCAGAGTGGAAGGTATATGTAGGTGTCTCCGCTTTGGGCCTACAACTCCACCCGGCAGATAGAATTGACACTGCTTGACAGGTGGGGAAACTGAGGCTTGATGTGTTAATTGGCCCCAAACCACAGGTCTGCTGCATAGACCCAGCATCTCAGGAGGTCCTGGGTGTGACCTGCCCAGAATCAGATGCCCCTGCCTTGTAGTCACAGTCCCAGCCACCCCAGCAGTGAGGAAGACGATGGGTCAGGCTCTGTGAGAGGTCTGGCCCCTTTGCTGTTCTCCTGTGCTTCTCCTCACGCGATCCAGCCATTCAACACCTTGTTAGGAACAAGAGTGGCCCACTGACTTCACGGAGCTGAGCTTTGTTGAAAGCTAGAGAAACATCTAGGGAGGACATACAAGA